AGCTCCCCCTGTCTGTGCCCAGGAAACCCCTGGACAGTTCCAAGGACCCCAGACATGAAAGCCAAACTGCTGGGGAGAGTCCTATGGGTCCCCAAAAGTACCTCAGGGGCTTTGGAGCCCCCACTTTTCCCCGTCAAGGTAAAAGTCATTTAAAAAATCATTTAAAAAAAATCTGTGGTGAAATACATTTAACAGAGTTTACCATCTTAACCATTTGTAAGTATAAAGTTCAGTGGCATGAAGTACATTCACACGTAAGAGCAACAATCACTACTATCTCTCTCCAGAACTCTTTTCATCTCGCAAAACTGAAATTCTACCCCATTAAACAACTCTCCAAGTTTCCCCTGCCCACCCAGGCCTTGGAAACCACCGTTTTACTTTTTGTCTCTATGAATTTTAATATTCTAGGTACTTAATATAAGTGGGATGTCACACAGTATTTGTCTTTCTGTGACTGGTTTATATCACTTAGCATAATGTCAAGGTTCATCCACGTTGCAGCATGTACCAGAATTTCCTTCTTTTTAAGGCTTCACATACTCCATTGTATGTATATACCAGCTTTTGTTTATCTATTAGAACAGTACTTTTACTCTTTAAAAGATCAGAAATCTCGCCCTGGCCAGTGTGGCTCAGTTGGTTGGAGCATTGTCCTGTACACTGAAGGGTCATGGGTTCAATTCCAGTCAGGGCACATACCCAGGCTGTGGGTTTGATCCCCAGTCAGGGTGAGTACCGGAGGCAACTGATCAATGTTTCCCTCTCTCTCAAATCAATAAAAAAACAAAAACAAAAAACATACTCTTGGGTGAGAATTACAAAAAAAAAAAAAAAAAGATTAGAAACCTCGAAACACCTTCGAATTTAGTAAATGTCCCTACCTTGAGACCCAGCTTGCTCTCCTTCCAGGAGGTGGGCCCCGGCTTATTTTCAAGGCTGGAGAGCTTTGCCAGCAGGGGGAGCACTTGTTATCAAACTCATTACTGGGCCAAGGAAACCAAGCGCCCAATGGTGATTTTTCTTTAAATATTTTTTTAGTGTCTTTATTAATTTCAGAGAGACGAAAGGAGAAGGAGAGAGAGAAATATCAACGATGAGAGAGTCACTGATCGGCTACCTCCTGCACGCCCCCTGTTGGGGATCGAGGCCGGGCATGTGCCCTGACCGGGAATCAAACCCCGGATCTGGATCCTAGGTCAATGTTCAACCGCTGAGCCATGCCCAGCCAGGCCACTGGTGATCTTGACTCTAAAAGAAGAGTTTCTAGCTCCTGCAGTCCTACCAACCCCCACCCATTCTCTGTCCCCAGTATCCCTCCGGCAGAGAGTAAAAGGGGCAGCTACCTGGGCAAGAGAGAAGAAGGGAAGAGCAGCCGCAGCTTACTGTGTAGCTCCTGGAACTCCTCAAACGTCCGCTGGATGTAAGTGGCCTCATGAGCATTCTCGCGCATCACCTTTATCACATAGATCTGCAAAGGTTCAAGTCTTAGAGAATACCTGCCACACCCTCCGCACCCAGTGAAGGGGGCAGGTAAGGAACTGAAGTGTGTGTGTGTCGGGGGGGCAACAACACTTTCCAGAAGGAAGGCGGCAAAAGTATCTCCAATGGAGGCGAAGATATGCCTATGTACATATGCAGGAATTTGAGAGCAAATATTTCCTGTACGTGTTTCTCAAGACCCTTGACTCAGAGGGAGTAACCATCCAATTCAGCTCCCTGATTCCAGGCAGGCCACTTGGGCAAGGGAGAGGGACATGGTCTGTGACTGCTCCTAGCACAGGATGCTCGGTGACTCCAGTGCCCACTGTGTGGATGTGAAGAAACAGAACCCAGTAAGCTGGGAGCACTGCGGAGCAAGAGAGGATCAGACGAGAGGACGCTTACGTAGGTCTTGTTGGGGTGGAAGACCTTCTCCTGGCGGGAGAGAAAGACATCACTGATGCGGCCAGAGCGCTGAAGAGTATACGTGCGGGGGGCAAAGGAAAGGGTCAGCTGGTCGTCTGAGCCCGTGAACTTCATCTGAGCCAGGTTATGGATGAAAAAATTGAGCTTTGTGGCTACACTGCCCAAGCTGGACTCAATCAACCTGTTGGTGCAAGAAGATGGGAAGAAGATGTCACCATGGACCCATGTCCCCACTGCCTGGACAGAGCTATCTCAAGGAATATCCTCTGACACCTGAGACTAACACTTAGCTCACATCAAATCATTTTCTCTGTGTAATATCCTCATAGAGCAAAGGACTGGCAAACAGTTAACTACATGCAATTGATTCATGCGAACCTGGGGGTCTTATCTCTCCTTGCTGCCCTCCTGAGCCAAAGACAGCTAAACCAAGGTAGTAAGGAATTAAAGGTTCCACCTAGGGTTGCCATGTATATATCTAAATATTGTTGTCAAACTGAATTTCAAGGTTCAGTACCATGGGACCTCACCAGCACTGCTCAATCTAGAGATTTCAATTCAAAAGGAAGGGTTCTGTGTTAGACCAACAGAAAAAAATGTAGTTTGTAAAGTTCCAAGAAGAGTACATAATTAAACGGAGACATCATCTACACAGACAAAACTGTAAACATTCATACATAGATACTTCTCTGCTTTCATATGCAGCGTGCCTAAAAACTTTGTCCAGTGTGGGAAAATGAAACCATGAAATTCATGTTTTGATAAGGGAGAAGGAAGGTTTTGATCCAGAGCGCTAAACAGCACTAAAAAGTCATACTTGCCCCATAAATTCTTTGACCAAGACCTGGTGAGAGTGCAAGTAAGGGCAGATTGCAATACCTCTATAAACAAAGGTCAGCACCAAAGTGCAGACGGGAAACTGAGTCTGAGAGATGGGAAGTAATGTACCTAAGTCAGAGGCAAAGTGGGGACAGTACACCCACACTGTCAACTAGGCTCTGCCACCTGAGCTAAGCCTTTCCCGTTTCCCTGGCCCCACTCCTCCCAAGCAGGCAGCCTGGAAATTAATTACGTATTGTATGCAGGGTGTTACCTAGTAAAGTAGGTAGTGGCATTGGCCTCTGTGTCCTGAGGCCTCAGGGCATCATACACATACTTGAGGTCCTCCAGGTCTGAGAGCTCAGGGATCCCACAGGACAGCATCTAGAAGGAGAGTAAAGGAGGAGAGAGGGTGCCTATAACAATCAGGAGGTCTTGCATCTTCCCCACCATAAGGCAAGATTTGCCACAGCTAGGCTCTTCTCATACTTTTCTAGAAGCATCCTAGAGGGTGGTAGACAGAGGCCGTGAGAATAGATAAGCTGCCCTGACCGGGTAACTCAGCTGGTTAGAGCACTGTCCTGGTACTCCAGGCTTGTGGGTTCAAACCCCTGTCAGGGCACATACAAAATCAACCAATGAATGCATAAATGGGTAGAACAACAAATTGATCTTTCTTTCTTTCTTTCTTTCTTTCTTTCTTTCTTTCTTTCTTTCTTTCTTTCTTTCTTTCTTTCTTTCTTTCTTTCTTTCTTTCTCTTTCTTTCCCTTCCTTCCTTCCTTCCTTCCTTCCTTCCTTCCTTCCTTCCTTCCTTCCTTCCTTCCTTCCTTCCTTCCTTCCTCCCTCTCTCTCTCAAATCAATCAATAAATAGAAATAAATAAAAATTTTAAAAGATGTTAAAAAAAAAGAATGGAGGGGCACGAAGTCAGATATCTGCACATACACCCTTGTCCCAGGCCCTGCCTTTCTCAAGAGCTCAGAAAAGTAGATCTCCAGGAATCCTTTGAAGCAAGACAGGGGTGGTCTTAAAGATAGTGCCAGATGATAAGAGGAAGGGGTTCAGGGACGGAGCTCCTCACCAGGCCCAGAAGGTTGAGGAAGAGGTGGGTGTGCTTGCGAATGAGGTTGTAGGCTTGGCAGCAAAGGTCAACAAAATCATGGAAGCGGCTGGAAGGCTTGTCGCCCCCGTTGATGACATACGCCATATCCGAGGTGAAGACAAAGGGAGCACGGTCCCTGGCCAAGGGGAGCACACAGGTAGAAGGTCAACATGGAGGAGGAAGCCCACCTTGGGGCTATGTTGGGGATGGTTCCCCTCACCCCTCATCACCTATGCAACCCTGGATAGATGGGGCTTTCTGTTTTCTTTCTGCTTAAATCCTAAAACATCCCAGAGACATCCTTCACTGTTGTCTGTGAGCTAGCGGGATTTTTTCCTGGATGTCTAATTGTATTCCCTTTGCTGCAGTCGAGCTCATTTCCCTTTGCTCAGTCCTCAACAAGGAGAGAACAGCCGGTGCCCACCTCCTGCAGGGCCCTGCAAGGCCCTGACCTGTTTCTCAGTCTTCTCTGCAAAGCTGCTCAGCCCAAAGACCACGCTCTGAAGCGCAGCTCCTTCCACCACAGGCTACGTCCCAGCTCTGAACCATTTCTGCTGAGCCCCCTGCCCTACACACACCCCCCCGCTTGAGGACACCACTTAGGACCACTTACCGCTTGATGTTGCCAAACATCTGGGCATGGCCCAGGAAGCGGCCAAAATCTATGTGGAACATGTGGCCAGTCGTCTTCAGCATGATGTTGTCATTGTGTCGGTCACAGATGCCCAAGACGTACGTGGCCACGCAGCAGCCGGCACAGGAATAGATGAAGTTCTCCACGGCCTGGGAGGAGGGAAGGAAAATGGAGAGGGCATAAAGCTGTCTTGGAAGGACTCCAGGGCCACAGCAAGGCTGAATTCCGCCAGCTCTGGCCTCTTTCTCATGAGTCCCAACAGCACCGCAGACCTGCCTGTTCAGCCTTCGTCACAGAGCAACCTGCACACTGCTGCTCCCAGAATGTCTCCTGCATCTTATGGAGCGGGAGGAGACCCACAGAGCCTGGCTGGTGTAGCTCAGTTGGTTTCCATGAATATCTTCACCACTATATCTGAAATTCGTCTTCCTCTGCACTATATCTGAAATTTGTCTTCCTCTGCACCTTTCTGTCTCCGAGGGAGCATGGTTAGAAAGACAATGAACTCATCCAGAGCCCAAACTTGACCAGCCCAGACTGAAGAGACCTTAATAGACAGGAAGACTGACGTGTACAACTTTCCCAACCAGTTGTGACCATCTTAACTCAAGCACACACTGAAGCAGCCAACTTAAGGGTCCTTTCCTGACCCTGCTCTGAATTCTTCCATCTTTCTCCCTGCCCCCCAAACAACACCCATCCCCAGTGTTCTCAGTAACAGCTAAATGCTAATCTCACTAAGGTCACTTTGCTGCAAAGAAGAGCCGAGGCAGTTAACAGTTCTGGGCATGTATAACACCTGGAAATCAGACATATCTAGTTAATAAAGTGTGTCAGGGATATTTCTGAGTTTCTGAGTTTAAAGCAGGAGGAGGAGGGGAAGGGGAAGGGGTTGGATCCACCTTATTTTATCTGGTTAACACTCTTCCCCTTATCTGCTTTTCCAGAAAGTAAAAATATGCAGAATTAGCAAATGGATACCTTTCACCCTCTAAATCCTCTTTATGACATTATAAAATTTCCAAGAATTCAGGAAAGGCTCATCAGCAGAAGGCAACAATTACCACAGCCAACCAGGAGTGTACAAAGTTGGGATGGAAGAAAGCTTCCCAGATAGAGAATGTGTGCCTTCCTTACATATTTCTACAGATTTCTGCCATCCTTCATGGACCTTCCTTGAGGCCCACGCCTTTCCCAGACCTTCCCAGCTCACACAGACTCCTCCCCATTGAGCCCCCCGAGCCCCACTGCCACCACCATTCACTCAGAGCTTAGTCGTTTTACTCCCTCAGGGTCTAGGGATCCTGTCTCCCAGCTGCTTCTTGGCTGTTCCACAAGGCCTGTTTCAAAACTGGCTGTACACAGAAACTTCCCAGATACTTGTTGAATTAAACCAGATGACTAGTCCATAGGAGACTCAAAAGAGAAAGTTTGTAGAGAAGTCATGGAATGCACCTTCTGGAAGAAAGACTTTCGATGGAAGGGAAATAGAGGGATGAAAGGAAACCACTCAATCCGACCTTCACCTCCATCAACTTGCCTTCAGATCTTCTTTCTATCAGGAATGCATCCTCTTTTGCCTTATTCTAGCAGAAAGGCTAGAAGAGCTGAGAAGCTAGCTTTGAAAGACTTATTAAACATTTAAGACACAGAGTTACTTTTCTGATTGTGTGTACTCTTGTTGAACATATGTCTATCATATCTACTATAACTCTTTATTACACTGGCAGGGAGTAATCATAATTCCAGCACAAATCACAGTGCCTCTGCATGGTGGCTGTTTAAGACCTGAAAAGCACATGTTAGTAGAAATAGCATGT